AAGAAGGGTCCTGACCCGAAACGCCAGCTTTCCTGTTCCTCTAATGCTGCCTGGCCTGCTGTGTTCCTCCAGCTCCACACTTTGTTATCAACTTCCTCATCCAGCCCTTTTTCAGCCTTCTCCTTCCCTTGGCAGATGACCCCCCTCTAGTACCTGAGCCCCAGGAACAGCCACAGCTTTACCAAAACTCATGGCTTTGGCATGAGCTTTGCACTGGCAAAATGAACCTCCAGTGACTCACTCATTGCCACTCCTCGAACTATCTGTACTTCCTTCAGTGATAAATTTTCAAAAGCTATCAACAGCAATTGCAAAAGTGATTGGAGGAGCAGTTCCTCATAGATACTGTCCCTTCCACTTACGAGAATGACTTTTGTCCCATAGGCCAGCCCAGAATGAATTCTCCCAGGCATTTTCAGGGGATAAATGGGAAAAGAGATAAGTAGGAAAATAGAATGGAAGGACTTGGGTTATGAATGGCAAGAAATGACATGAATAAATACTGGAGAACTGGTATGGGTGATGGTGTAGTGGTTTTGTGTTAGTTATCCAGAGACCCAAGTAATGCTTTAGGGGATCAAGGTTCAAATCCACCATGGCAAGTGGTGGAAGTTACAGTTTTAAAAAATTTGCAAGAGTCTAATGATTATGAAACCATCGTTGGTTGTCATTAAAACCCATCTGGTTCACCAATGTCTTTTAGGAAAGGAATTCTACTATCCTTACCTGGTCTGGCCCATATGCAACTCCAGACCTTTAGCAATATGGTTGACTTTTAAATGTCCTCTGAAATGGTCCAGCAAGCTGCTTATTTATATCAAGTTGCTAAAAGGTCTCTCAAAAGGAGTGAAACCACTGGCATCCATGTGGGCACCAGAAATGACGTGGTAAACTCAGCCCTGTTGATCCAGCAAAGACCTCGCTAATAATATGTGGAGGCTGGTGCAAAAGGGAAGAGCTGTCTTACAGACGACTGAAGCAATATCTGATACAATCACACTCACAGAAGCAAATGTTACAGACATTGTCCCAGACATCACCACCACCCAAGGGCAGGGCAGACCCAGCAGAGATGGTGGCATTGTGGTATGCTGTCGATGGGGACGTGCACTGGGTGTCCTCAACACTGACTTCAGACCATGAATTCTCATGGCATCAGGTCAAACATGGGCAAGAGAACCTCAAGCTAATTATCACCTAGCACTCTCTGCTCCAGGCCTCAGCTAATGAGCCAGTACTTCTCCATGTTGAACACCACCTAGAGGAAGCAATGAGCGTGGCAAGGGTGCAGAATGTAATCTGGGTTAGAGACTTCAATATTTATCGCCAAGAGTGGTTCAGCAGCATGACTACTGACCAAGCTGGTCAAACCCTAATGGACAAATCTGTTAGATTTAGCCTATAGCAGGTGTTGAAGCAATGAACAAGGGGTGGAGAAAAATGACCTCATCCTCACCAATCTATCTCTAGCAAATACACCTGTCCGTGACAGTGTCAGTAGGAATGAGCACCACATATTCCTTGATGAGACCAAGTCCAGTCTTTACACTGAGCATATCTTCCATTGCGTCAAATGGGATTGATTTGAACACAACTGGCAATCAAGACTAGGCATCCATGATGAACTCTAGGCCATCGGCAAAACTATACTCAAACACAAGGCACAGCATATCCCCCACTCTACCTTTATCGTTAAGCCATGGAATCAACCCTGATGTAATAAGATGCATAAGTGCATGTTAGAAGCAGCTCCAGACATAGCTAAAAAAATTCAGCCTGGTGAATTTACACAGAATTACATGTGCATCAAACAGCATAAGCAGCAAGTGATAAACAGGGCTAAGCAATTTTACAACCTACTGATACAAGATCAGCAATCCTGCCACATTCAGTCACGAGTGAGTGTGGACAATTAAACAACTCCGTGGAACAGGAGGGTCCACAAATATCTCCACTCTCAATGAGAGAGCCCAGCACTTCAGTGCAAAAGACAAGGCTGAAGTATCCACAACAATTTTCAGCCATAACTGTCAAATGGATGATACATCTTGGCTTCCCTCCAGAGAACCCCAGCATCATAGACGCCAGTCTTCAGTCAATTTGAGTCAGTCCATATGATAGTAAGAAGCTGCTGAATGCAAAAAGTGTACTGCAAAGTCTCTAGGCCCTAACAACTTTTCGGCAACAGCCACATACCAAGCCAAGCTGTTTCAGTGCAACTACAATAGTGGCATCTACCCAGCAATGTGGAAAATACAGGTCAAATTAATCCCAGCAAATTACTACTTTATCTGTCTGTTCTGAATCAGCAAAATGATGGCAGGGGGTCATCAACACTGTTATCAATTTGCTTAATCTGATCACTGAAGTACAATCTGGGTTCTCCCAGCACCGCTCAGCTTCTAATCTTATCACTATATATGAGTTAAACATGAACAAAGACCTGAACACAGAAGGGAGGTGACAGTAACTGCTTTTGACATCAAGGCCACATTCGACTGAGTGTGGCATCAAGGACCCATAGCAAAATTGGGTTCAGTGGGAATCGGCAGGGGAGGGGGTGTGGGGGGTGGGTGGAAAGAAAAACTCTCCCCTGGTTGGAGTCATACTTGGCATAAAGAAAGAAAGATGGCTGTAGATGTTGAAGATCAGTCTTCACAGTTCAAAGATATCTCTGCAGATGTTCCTCGGGGTAGTGTCCTAGGCCCAGTAATCTCCGGCTATTTCATCAATGACCTTCCCTCCATCAAAACCTTCATGTCACCTCAGATACTGGAGTAGTCCATGTCCAAATGCACCAGGTCCTGGGTGATATCCAGGCTTGGGCTGACAAAAGGAGTGTAAAATTCATGCTGTACTAGTGCCAAGCAAGGACGTTCTCCAAAAGAGGGAAATCGAACTATTTGAATTTCAATGGCTTTATAATCGCTGAATTTCCAATATCAACATCCTGGGGGTCATCATCGACCAGAAATTGAACTGAATGTAGGAACAAATTATTACAGATGTTGGAATCTGTCCTGAAAACAAAAATTGAAGAAAGTCATAGTGGGTCAGGCAGCATCCATGGAGATAGAGCAAGCTAACATTTCAAGTCTAGATGACTCAAAACGTTGGCTTGCTCTCTCTCTATGGATGCTGCCTGACATGCTGCAATTTCAAACATTTTTTGTTTTCAGAAATTGAACTAAACTAGCTATTCAAATACTGTGACAACAATAGCAGGTCAGAGACTAGGAATCCTACCAATTCACCTCCTGATGCCCAAAAGCCAATTCACTATCTAGAAGGCACAAGTCAGGCGTGTAAATAGAATATTCCTCACTCTCCTGGATGAGTTCAGTTCAAACAACACTTGAGAAACTTGACACCAACCAAGACAAAGCAGGCTGTTTCACTGGTACTACATCCTCAAACATTTACTCCCTCCACCACCAACACTCAGTAGCATCAGTGTGAAACGTGTACAAGATGCACTGCAGACATTCACCATGGCTCCTTACACAGCACCTTCTAAATCCATGACCACTATCTGGAACAGTATTATGGGTGTACCTACACCTCCGACGCCATTGTGGATAAAGCTGCACCAAACAGACTGCAGTGATTCCAGAAGACAGTTCACCACTTTTTCAGAGTATCTAGAGATCAGCAATAAATGCTAGCCCAGCCAGTGAAGGTCACACCCTTGAACTAATTAAAAAATAAAAACTAAACTACAAAGATCTGGTTAGATGTTAATTTACTTGCATTCTATACTTCAGGTAATACAAACCAGTTTTACATAATTGCTCATACTCTTGGAACATTCTCTTCAATCTACACTGTATTCATATCAAGACTAATTCTTTTGTTGCCCTGAACTGTACGTATTATTTCAAATATAGACTAAACAGAACTTTGAATAGTGTGGCACATTATATTCTAACCTTCCAATTATAAAGACTAATATTCTATTTCATTCTTTTGTATAAAGAGATGGAAATATTTACAGATCCTATATAACTAAACAAAAATAACTATAGAACAAACAGAACGGTAGCACAAGAGCAAAACCTGCAAATACTGGAGATCAGGAATATAAAATTAACATGATGGAAATGCTCAGCAGGTCTAAGTAGCATTTGTGAACAAAAAGCTTTAGTGTGTTGGGTTTATCCATTTTTCAGGTGGGGCTTTGAATCTAGAACCCCCTGCTTATTCAGCTGCATGCAAAAGATCATGTAGCACTTTCTCAAGAATAATACGGATTTTCTACATGCACTGATCATTCTTGTTAACATCAAACGGATCAATAGATTGTTGATCTAGGTTCGTTTTTGTGAGAACTTGCAATATGCAATTTAGTTGTTGTTTTTGCCCACATAAAAAGAAGTGACTGTCCTCAAGAATAATGAATTGATCGTAAATCACTTCAAGACAAGGGGGCTGTGCAATGCACTAAATAATGTGTGCTGTTTCATTTATTAATCAGGTAATAAATTCACCTGCAATTCTTCATCCGTCAGATTTTCTCCAAGTTCTTTTGCTACACGTTTCAGATTTTTGAATGAGATTCGCCCAGTTTCATCATCATCAAATAGTCTAAAGGCTTTCAAAATTTCCTCCTTTGTATCTTTCTCAGCCTGAGAAAAACAGCCAAATGCAGAGATTCAGTTTCTAATTTTATTAAATATTTTTTAAAATTCCATGCGTCAAATAAGTTTTCTAGGCATTGTAAAGTCGTACAAGGGAGAAATATGACAAGATCCTGTTCAACGTGAAAATTGCAGTCAACGAATCCAAGCCCTACAACACCTCTAAATTTTGCAGATATTTTGTTTCCTTATAAATGAAGATTAACATTGGGTGTATACCAAACTCTACACAATTTGACATTTCTCTTTTTCTATATAGAATAGTCTATAATTTGGAGTTGGCAATGGCAGTGAAATGGAGCTAATCAACCATTATATAGACTTCTTTCCACAATTCATTCTGCTGCAATTCTGTGTTTATTTCTTCAAGGTACGTGGAGGTCACTGGTTTGTCATGTGTTTGTTGTTCAAATGGTGGTGGTAAGTTGCCATTGAACTGTTATAGACAATGAGGTGTAGATACAGCACAGTGCTCTCAGGAAGGGAGTTCTAGGATTTTGACTTACAGCAATAAACAAAATATTGAAGTTCCAAGTCAGAATGGCATGTAACTTGAAGGAGAACTTCTAGTTGGTGGCATTCCCATATCTGCTACCCTAGTCTGTGTGGTAGAGGTTGCAGATTTGGAAGGTGTTGATGAAGGAGACTTAATGAATTGTTGCAGTGCAACTTGTGTATGGCACGCACAACTACCAGCGTGTCAGTAGTGGAGGGAGTGAATGTTTAAGGTGGTGAATGGAGCCCCAACCAATCGACCTGCTTTTCCCTGGGTGGTGGCAAGCTTTGTGAATGTTATTGGAACTGCACTCATCCAGGCAATTGGAGGTATTCTACCATACTGTTGACTTCCATCTTGTAGATGGTGGAGATATTAGGAGTCAGGAGTTAATAAATAAGTAGTTTGTGGAAAGTAAAAGATAGCGAGTGAGTTTGGAGGTTTTCAGCATAGAATGCTACAGCAAGACCCACTTCTGCAGACCAAATGTTGAGCTCCCTTAACTGTAACTTTTAAAAGAAACAAATGCAACAACATTCATCTTCACTTTTTAAAATTACCATTTTTTGTGTGATGACTGCCAAAAATTCATTAAAGTCAATTTTCCCAGTGCCTTCCTTATCAATTTCTGCAATCATTTTCTTTATTTCTTCTTTCTTGGGTTCAAATCCCAAAGCTCGCATTGCAACCTGAAGAAAAAAAATGAATGACACAGGCTATCGTCATCTAAAGTCAGGATTGCATTCCTGAAAATTGTGATTTTAAGTCAAAAGATTTCAAATGAAGCATCAACTGTAAAATCTGGAGTTAGGTTCCTTAGCACAGTGAAAAAGATTACAAACAGTAAACTTGTACCCTCCAAGTTTAAAAACAGGCAAAGCTGTGTTTAAAGTTATTAAATTCTTACATTGGTAACTAACATAAAATACATTTAAAAATTCAGAATGAAAGTAAGTGTGTTCTACAGTGCTATCAGATTGGCCAGGTCCATCTAGTGGCAGAGTTGATTAGTGCAGTTGGACCACATGCACCGACTGTCCACTTCCACTGCATAGAGCCCAAGAACCCAGTTCAACTACAGTACTGATTTGTAATTGTGACAAATGCTGACAACGCATGCAAAGGATGTTAAAACTAAAATGCAGAGCAAAAGGAAAAAAAAGAGACCTGAAAGAACAAACGATGTTGAAACAAAATAACAGATTAACATTAAATTTGGACAACACGTACTTATTGGGGTCAACATATTGCTGAAAAATGACGACTTGTGGACGACCTCCATACCTCTACACACATTCAGTCAAATGATCCACCATTGTTAGGAAATTAACCTAAAAGGTTACATGATTCATTTGCACAGATAAAGAGTAGATGAAATGGTGCTGAACTCATACAACTAATGTAATAAGATACATTCAGTTTGACATTCTTCTGCACTTGTTTGCAAAAAATTACCACAAGTATGAAACGTTCATCTGAAAATTAACATTTGGACAGAGGCAATAAGCAAATTCAAAAGCTAACAAGAGCTATTCAGTATTCACAGCACAGTTCAGCCCAACAGATCCATGCTGGTGCTTAGTCTCTACAAAAGCCTTTTCATTTAGCCTGCTCAACATATTTTTTAGGTTTTCTCTTGTGTCCACATAGCTTTCACTCGATTTAAAAGTTTTGCAGGTGCAACACAATACTGACATTCACTTATTGTCAGCAACAATTGAAGGAAAGTTTGGGCAGCACTTCAGACAAAACAATAGCACTGCACAGACAGTACTAGGTCCAAGGCACCAATTTAAGAAGCAGAATATCAAAAAGTCATAATATCTCTAATTAAATCCAAAACCAGTATTTTGAACTTGAATGAAAAGGACAAGTATGAGGATGTGAAAGAAGACTAGTTACCATGAACTGGCAAATAAGGCTAAGGACATCAGGGCATCACGGTGGCTCAGTGGTTAGCACTGATGCCTCAGTGCCAGGGATTCCAACCTCAGGTGACTGTTTGTGTGGAGTTTGCACATTTTCCCTGTGGGTTTCCTCTGGGTGCTCCGGTTTCCTCCCACAGTCCAAAGATGTGCAGGTTAGGTGGATTGGCCATGCTAAATTGCCCACAGTCTTCAAGGATGTGTAGGTTAAGTGCATTAGTCATGGGAAATGCAGGGTTACAGGGATAAGATGGGGGGGAAATGGGTATGGGTGGGATGCTCTTTGGAGGGTCGGTGTGGACATGATGGGCCGAATGACATGTTTCCATGCTGCGGGGACGCTATATGATTGACTCTCAGAATATATCAGTAGGTTATGCTGCGGCACACATTTAGGGGGATATCTTAGAATACACAGAAAGAAAAAAAATCTAAGGGGAATGTCTGTCATAGTGTTTAATTTAAAAAGTTAAAAATAGTGTAAAAGATAAATCTGTGCTGCATAAATCTATGACTCCATAAAAAGCATAAGAACATAAGATATAGGAGCAGGAGTAGGCCATCCAGCCTGTCGAGCCTGCTCTGTCATTCAATAAGATCATGGCTGATCTTTTTGTGGACTCAGCTCCACTTACCCACCCACTCACCATAACCCTTAATTCCATTACTGTTCAAAAATCTATCTTTGACTTAAAAAGCATTCAATGAGGTGGCTTCAACTGCTTCACTGGGCAGGGAATTCCACAGATTCACAACCCTTTGGGTGAAGAAGTTCCTTTTCAACTCAGTCCTAATTCTGCTCCCCCTTATTTTGAAGCCATGCCCACTAGTTCTAGATTCACCCACCAGTAGAAACAACCTCCCTGCTTCTATCTTATCTATTCTCTTCATAATTTAAATATTTCTGTCAGATCCCCCCTCGTCCTTCTAAATTCCAATGAATATACTCCCAGACTACTCAATCTTTCCTCATAAGCCAAGCCCCCCTCAATTACAGGATCAACCTAGCGAACCTCGTCTGTACCCCCTTCAGTGCATCCTGTCTCAAGCAAAGAGACTAAGATGGGCAGGTCAGAACATTGGATAGAGCATTAAAAAGTAGAAAAGATTGATGGAAAATTAACGAGAAAAATTAGAATACAGTGAAAGCTGGCTAGAAATATTAAAAAAAGAGATAGTAAATATTTCTTTAGATTTTTTTTGAAAAAAAGTTCACAAAGTGTGCATTGGTCCAATAGAATGTGAATCTAGAAAATTAATAAGGGAAAATAAGGAGACTGCACATGAATTTGAGCAGGTATTTTACATCAATCTTCATTGTAGAAGATATAGGTAATATCCCAGAATTAGCTGTAAATCAGAAAAAGGAGCAAGGTAACAAAAAATTACAAATCAGAGAAATGGTACTGAACAAATTGTTGCAACTGCTGTTTGACAAGTCCCTGGATCCTGATGGACTTCATCCCAGGATCCTAAAAAAAAAGTGATTGGTGAAATGGTTGATGCATTGGCGTCATTTTACAAAATTCCTTAGACTCGAGAAACGTTCTTTTAAGATTTGAAGAGAACAAATGTAACTCTTTTATTCAAAAAAAAAAGGGGAGACAGAAAACAGAATAATACAGACTAGTTATCTTAGCATCTCATGAGGAAGACGTTAGAAGCTATTATTACAGACGTTATATCAGGGCACATAGAACAATTCTAGGTAATCAGGCAGTGTGAACATGCCTTTGTAAAAGGGATTTCCAAATTTAACCAGTTTGTTGGAATTCTTTGAGGAAACAAAATTATGCTGTAGAGAAAGGGAAACTGATGGATAAAATCTATTCAGATTTATAGAAGGCATTTGATAAAGTGTCACATTAAAGTTTATTGTGGGAAATAAAGCTCATGGCATTGGGGGTAGCATATTGGCATGGATAAGAGATTGACAAAGTAACAGAACTACAACAGTGTAAAAAGTTATCAGGGGTAGTAGGAACATGGAATAATCACATCAGCTATGATCTTTTTGAGCGGCAGAGCACACTCGAGGGGCAGTGTGGACAACTCCTGCTTCCAATTTGTGTGTTTAATACCTTTAATTCTTTGGCATCAATAGATCCAGCGCCGTCTGTGTCAAACAGGTCAAATGCTTCTCGTATTTCCTGTTTTTGTTCTTCAGTGATTTCTGGTTTTGGTCCAGCTTTCTTCCTTTGTACTGTTGTACTCAAAGGTGTCTTTTTATAGGCAGAGGTCTGTAACATTGCAAATAATCATCTGTTTTCAAATTAGAAAGGATACTGTGTATTCCATCAATATCTTTGACTGGAAACATACTTCTTTGAAATTCACAAAGACTTGCACTTACGCAATGCCTTCAACATCATGAAATATTAGAAGGCACCACATGAGAAACAAATGGCAAAGTACAGAGAGAGAGAAGGAATTACTGAAAGCACAGTGAAAGTGGTGAGTTTAAATGAGTGTCTTGAAAAGGAGAAGAATCGGAGGTCGTGTTTGGAGAGAAAATTCCACAATCCGAGTCCCCAGTTACTAAAGATGCAACCAC